ATTTATATTAGTTAGCTAGTATCATTTGTACACATGAATTAATTACTAAAATAAATACCTGGCAAGATACGCCAAAGAAAAAAAACAAAAAAAAAAAAAAACAAATATATAGATCACAATACTGTATACTTCCAAACTCCATATTAGATTCACAGTCTAGAGATTATTGACCTACTTAGCTAAAATTTAGGTCTGAAGTAAATTAGCTTTATTACCTTTTCTTCTAAATATATATATAAATTATTTAAAATCTCTTTGTAACTATTGCATATTAAATAATAAAGAAATTGAGAAAAAGAACTCTTTTAAAAAAATAAAATAAAATATACACCTCCTTATGTTTTTTAAAATTTTACTAGAGTAATTCTGTTGTATTTTAAAAATTTTACTAAGATAACACCTGTTGTATTCTTAATGTTATCTTAGATTTTAATTTTAAATTAATTCTAACCCCAACCCTAACCTAACTCTAACCTCCTTCTAACTCTAACTCTAACCTAATTCTAATCTTAATTATTGTTTACTATAGGGTGCACAAAATTAATAAATCCCAAACTTATAACTATGTTAATTTAATAAACTTAAATTGAATTTGATCTTTTAAAATTTTTGTGCTCCTACTGAATAACCCCAATTATAATTAAAGTAAAAATACATGATCGTTTATTACTATATATTATTAAATAACAATAAGTAATATAAAACCATAAATTATATGCATTGTCTAAGCAGCGATTATGTAAAGGATTATATCAGAGCCGTGAATTCCGTAAGTGATAACTATCGAATGCATTAAAAAACTGTAAATTTTTTTTTCTCATAACGTCACTTATATATGAATTGCAGCCTTTTCTCTTGGCGTCACACACACATGAATTACAGGAATTACAGTTTCTCTTGGCGTCAATTACAGCTTTTTTCTTGGCGTCACTAATATGAATTACAGCCTTTTTCTTGGCATCACTCATGAATTACAGCCTTTTTCTTGGCATCACTCACCGTTCGCATATTAGCTTCCAAATCTCGTTTCTACAGCAATGTCTTTAGGCAATTCTTATTACACTAAAAATATAACTGAACATATTATAACGCGCACACCATATAATTGCCTATATCTGTATAAAGTTTAAATTTTATCCAATATTTATCAAAAATTTTTATCACAGTGTATTATATTTTAAATAAACGATAGTTATATCATTGTCTAGTGACTAATCTATATCACAGACATAAAGTTTATTATAGCCAGTGAAGTGTCCAATAAGAACATCGATTCACTAGATAATATCCATTTAATTAAATATTATATATAAATAAGAATCTATGAAATCTACATATGTAAAATACCAGACCATAATAATAAAAAAATAGCACACAAAATAACTGTTATATTTTCTTTGCACCGAGTACTGAACTTTTTTTCTTTTTTTCCTTCAACATTGACATTCTCTATGTAAATATAAACATATAAGATTAGATATAATAAACAAAATTTCATGTAATGCTTAAAATAGAATCCTGACCTGTCGTCTTTCTTCTCTTTTCTTGTTAAGTTCTGCTGCTCTCTCTTCCTTAGAAACTGTAATAGAAGGCGTCGATTTTTGGATTGATGGTTTTGAAGTATCCCAATCATCGTCCCATCCATCATTATTACTCCATTCAAAATCATCCAATTCCCAACCATCCGCTGGATGTGCTGTGAATGTTTAAATAAAATTCATAAAAATTTTTTTTTCCTTACACGTTATGTCGTGCAGATCACGTGTGCAAAATTTTTAATATGGGTCAAATGATTGACACACCTAAATTTTATATGTAAAATCTAGATTACAAATTCTCTAGCATTTGAAGGTTCTTTTTATAAAATTTCAAAGGCAGTTTATAATAAAATGGAAAATAATCTTGGTCACAACGTTAGCCTATTTTTCACGATTTTTACTCCAAAATAGGTAGTTAGGTCTGTCAATTTAGTTGACGGTCCTAATTACCTATTTTGGTGAAATGATATGTATTACTAAACAAATAGTAAAAACTTCGTGATCAATAAACTACCCTTGAAATTTTATAAAAAGAACCTACGAATGCAAAAGAAATTGCAAATAATATTTAAAAGTCAAATTGACAAATTTTTACTATTATTTACATATAAAATTTAGGTGCGTCAATCATTTGACCCTATATTGCACATGATCTACACGACATACCATAAGACTGTTTGTGAGAAAGGAAAAACAAAATCTCACATTTAGAACCTCCTAGCTTCATTGATGATGTTGCTGCAGAAACGCTCTGCTTCATGCTAATGCTATCTGGTCGAGATGATAGCTGAGATGATGATGCAGAAGACGGTTGTAATCCTTGAAATCATAAAAAGAATAATATAAGATATTAAAATATGTCTAAAAAGATACAACTCTATTAAATAATATGAAATATTTATGAACGATTTTATATATGTTGTGCGCCAAATTAATATCTGTGTCAGATTAAAGTTAAAATAATTATAATGCCGCTAATACCTACTCTTAATCTAACATAGACTTTCACCCTAATCCTAATGAAGCTCAATACAGTATTTAAAATTTGATCTGACCCAAATTTTAATTTGACGTACAACATATACAATATTTTGATATGTACCCCAATCATCATTCTTATTTTCAAATCCAGTCAAATCATCGTTTTCCCAACCATCAGAGATATCTTGATCTTTGTGGTCATTAAGTTGATCACTCTTAATACTCGAACTCGGAGAAGGTGACAAATATTCACTTCCCGATTTCTCGTGAGCATGCGCGGATGTATCATTATTTGTGCTGTTAGTAGGAGCTGCTACAATTTCGCCTTCAACATTTACTCCAGTGATCTTTTCCGATTCAAAATATTAAATATTTTATTAAAATAGATTATACTAGAGCATAAAAAACGCTACACTAACATAATGCACTTACCTTTTTGGTCAAAGATGTAACGGCCCATCCAGTCCAACTTTCGGCAGCACTAACCACGCTACCAGCAACTGAGGTCGGTAATGAAGTGTCGGCATTCCCTGAACTTTGTTCAGTTATAATAGCTGAATCGGGCTAATAAAATGTATCAAGGATTAACGCTACAAATTATTAAATTAGAAAGATACAAAATCAATGTTTAATTATATAGATACCATTGATTCGACCAATTTTTCTATTCGTTTAATTATTACATCGAGCGATTTGAAAGCTTGGATGCGTACTGGTCTACATATATATAATGAGAAGTCAAAGATCCTTAATATTCGAATAACGGACAAACTTTCAATCAAATATTATATTTTCAACTTACTTCTCTTTATCAACCAAAGTTACTGACACACATGGCAATATTCTAGTTGCACAATCGGTAGCATCATAATAATCTAGTGTTGCTATAATTGTATAATATGAAAGTATATAAACACCACGCCTTAAACATTAAAGAAATTCAAAATATTGAATATCGTTACCTGTCAATGCCATCAAACTCGCTGCTCTAGCATGAGGAAACGGATCCCTCAGTGCTCTTGTAAAGGCGGTTACCAATACTTTTTTCTTTGTCTACGAATATATAATAATACATTAATATCTAAAAGTCAAGCATTGGTAATTGTTTATACAAAATTATTTAACTTTACTAACTTACACTTTCACTCAGGTATTTACTAATTTTGCCTAAGCAAATAGTGGTATTTGTCCGAATACCAGGCATTTCATCCATTTGTAACTTTGCTAAATGCCGTAACAAATCATTATTGATAACACGTTCAGTCAACTATTATTTATAGAAAAATTCATTAATATAGTAACATCAAATTCATAAATAATGGTCACACACCGATGAACTCAGTTATACCTTTGGTGCGAGTAAAAGAACCGATTTTACGGTACTTTCTCTGATAATTGGTGCAGTATCTGTAAATCCAGTTGCCTGTACGATTATTAATTAAAATTGTCATGCAATAATTCATTTTAAAGAAGAGTTCTTACCACATGAGGAAATACTTTTTCATTGACCGTTTTATTGTCTAAATGATCAATAAATGAGCCTAAATTTTCTAGCAAACTAAGACGCATAGCTCGATCAGGCACAGCAAACATTTTTATAATAGATGTCACTATAAATTGTTCGTATTCATTATCATCGAGAGTTTCACCGATCTTTATTATAGAAGGTAATACGTTTGCACCACCTAACAATCAAATAAATGATAAATAAATGCAAATAAAAAAATAAATAAATTCATGATTCATATAATGATTTACCTGAGCCGAATTCTAGAGCTTTAAGGAGTTCTGGCAAAATTTTATATTTACATATATTTCCAGGCATTTTATCGATCGTATTAATCAATTTTCTAAAAATAAATAATAAATTAACGAAATTCATTTTGAAATCATAATATAATATAAGATTATACTATAAAATTCTTACTTAAAAAAGATGTCTTTTTCTCTTGCTTCTTTAATGTTCATATTCTCCAAGAATAAATTAATTTGTACTAGATCATTCTGAAAAAATCCACCAGGGCGTAAACAAGCATCGACGAAAGCAGATATTTTAAGTCGAGATTTTGGATTGGCTCTTATCAATTGTTTATATGGAGATAAAATATTCTGCAAACAACAAGAAATAACAAGAACGATTACATTTACAGATTTTTTGAAATGTAGAAAAGTTTAGAACATAAATTAAAAAATTTAACCTGTGGTATAGCACCAGTATTTTCAAGTTGATTAGTGGATGAGAATGCTCCGTTATACACTTCATAGATCAAAGTTCCGTAATTCCAAGAGTCTGTTACCCACACATCATGCCTAACCTCAAAGAACATAAAAGAAATAAATTTTGATTCTCGTCAATCACTAATATATTTTAAAAATTAAGAGAGAGCCTTACTCCTTTAGATTATTCCAAGAATTTTTTGCGATCTCAGGGGAAGCATATTTAGAAGAATCAACTACTAATCCACCATAAGTCTATAATAAATTAAATAATAAGCACAAAAGTTAAATAAAATCAATTTTCAAATAAGTTACTCACAAAAATCACAGGGTTGTCTTCCTTGGGAGAACTCATAAGTTCAAATCCAGCCAATTTCCATTCCCCAGCTTTATTTGTAAATATTGACGAAATTCGAACATTACCATGAATCATTGAACAATCATTATTTAAAAATTTTAATGCGCTCTTATAAGAAAAAAAAAAGATGTGTGATGTTAGAAAAATAATAAAAAAAGGTAAACATAAAAAAAAATTACTTTAAACATACCCCCACTTTATATAAACCCCATGGCACTAAATTATCATCAGGACGAACATTAATTTGTGTTATTAAAGGAGTAACATTTTCGGTAACGATATATATGTTAGAATCAGTCTTCAATAAGAATTAGAAAATAACAGTTAAAATAAAAACAATTAACAAGCAATCATAATTAAGTAAATTATTACCTCCACACCATCAACGTAACGTAAAAAATCTGGGTGTCTAATGGTTCGAAATTTCTTGAAAGCATTTTTGGCTAAAGGTAATTTATCTTTTTGCTTGGTGCAATCAAAAGTGAAAATAGATACAGGGCTTCCGTCCTCCTAGAGGATTTTTAATATTCAACGGATTATCAGGGTCTGAATGTTTCCAGAGCTCTGATTAACTGAATTCTGTGTTTTACATTACCCCCCTCCCCTCCAGGGGGGAGGGGAGAATTTGTGGTTTACATAGCAAAATTTTAAAAAATTTTTTTTTAAAAAAAAAATTCCGAATTGTTCCGTGACTGTATAAAATTTCCGAAATATCCCGTAGTCCTATGTATATTTATCTAAATTTTTTTACTATGAGGGAGAGGGGGAACGCTGAAGAGGGGGGGAGGGTAATGTAAAACACAGAATCCAGTTGGTCTCGCCTTAAGACCAGGTTCAAATAATTATTTGAAATTGGCGCTTTAATAACAAGATATGTAACCATACCTTTTTTGTTCCCTGATATAAAGACCATATTGATACGCCCTCGTATGAGTCTACTTTCTCTGCAATGTTAAAAGGAAGAGTCGGTATATCTTTACCTAATACGACTCGAGACAACGTTGACTTTAGATAATCCATATTGATATTTAAATTTTTTTTAAAAAAGAATTAATTCATGTAATATACGAATTCATTGTACAACAATGCAGGTATTACGTACGGTGATCGGTGGAAATACCCTAAATTACCAAAATTACCATTATTAAAGTTAGCAATAACTGCAGGGTTTAAATCACTGTTTTTCTCTTTGCTCGAGAGGTAAAAAAAAAAATGTCATCATCGAAACATACCATGACTAAATCTTCATTTATACCATATTCCTTATTATCGGGAACATTTGCTTCATTAGCGTCCGTATTCGCAAAACTTTTCACAGATACTAGAACTTTAAGTATCGCACAATATTTTTGTGAAGTAATTTCTGATAGTAAAAATGCAAAATTTTGTAAAGAAATTGAAGAAAGCGAGAAGGGATGGAAAATTGTGAGTGTTTATGTTAATTTAGTCAAGTGTAATTTATACTGTAATCAAAAATTAAGTGTTCAACGCCTCACTATTTTCCATAAAAGATAATCTATTCGATCAGAATTCTTTGCTTCGCATCAATATTCTTATGTAACGCATTAATGTGGAATTTACTCACAAAAGCATTTAATAAATCATCGTCATCTATTCAAGTTACTGTATTAAATAGCACTACTAATTTTTGTATGACTGTAAGTATTTTCAATTGTTTCGAAATTTCGGTCTGTTTTTCTTTTTTAATTAATTATCGATAATTTAGGCAATACTTGGAAATGTCATATTTGGTGAAGCATTGGCACTTCAATGGTGGTTTGGTGCAGGATTTATAGTATTTGGCACAGTTTTAGTGAATATGTCTAATGCTGTTGTGGAAGATTATGATAAAGAAAAGAAAACAAAAGTACAATAAAATGCAGAAAACATTTCTTACTGTGCATGATACGCATTGATTAAAATCAAAATGAATCTTTTCTGTATTTTTTTATTATAAAATTGTGAATCAAAGTAAATACAACCTTGAAACTTACAATATGCCAAGAAAAATTTTAAAAAAGTTTTTTTGAGCAAATTAGCTCAGGAACATTTTTTCACTTAAGAAATATTAATAAAATTTTGAAGTTTCTTATGTTTTAATATAAACTTTATAACAAAAAATCAAAATTTCGCAAAACCTATTTTGTTAATTTGGTTCCTTTCTCTGCACTTAGTCCATTCTGATAACTATGTACATTATTTAATTAAAAATAAAAATAGTATGTACTACATACAATATATACCTCATCTATTTCATCTATTTCATATTCAAATTCTGTCTCATCGTCTATTTCATTATATATTTCATTATTCTATCAACTACTTCATCATCTACATAAGGTTCTTGTATTTTATGAAGATTCAGAATAATTAATATGATATATCCTAGTTTTTAATATCCAACTATGCGTTAATTGCATCTAATGTGGTTTTGGGGCCACTGTTACGTTTACAAAAATCTCGAATGATCAATGCCTTAACAGCTTCAACTTGGAGCCAATGCTTCTACTATATGATTTCGAAGTTTGAAACTCAGCTGAGTTATCTTTATTGTCACGTAGTTTATTAACTCTACGTGTACTACTTTGACTTTCCTATCGATCTTTACTCGCTTGGCTTTAGTATACGATGAGTGGAGTATCGTACAGGTACTCTACTGATAATGTATCCACACAGATAACACAGTTTATTCACTAAGAGTCAAAGCTTATTCACGAATATAAGCTAGGCATTTCCCCTATTTGGATCGATGCCTTATATATTAATACTAATCGCTAGTGATTACTACATTGTTCATGCAATACTAATCGCTTCTAATTACCATGCAATCACTATTTTAGACTTTTAATTAGCAAATCCCGATCACAATATTCGATCAACACGTACCCGATCAATAGTCACATGGGTACCGCTATCCAACCCTGGCGCTACAAGTACATGGGGTATTGACAAACACCGCGACACTTATTGAAGTAAAAGGTTCTAACTTTTACATTACTGCGACACTTATTAATCTTACTCCAAAAAGCTTTTATCCCGCGGCGGATTACTAGAGTTGGCGATTGTAGAGGTAGAATCACTAGAGTTGGTGAAAGTAGACGTAGCAGGATTTCTAGAGTTGGTGAAAGTAGGCAGCTTGGGCTCGATAAGCTTCTTGCTTCAAGAGATCAAAATCAAATAGCCATGTGCATGCAACTTTATGTAATACTCTTCGCTTTGTAAGTGTTCCAGATTCCCCTTGCGTTGTAAAACCTCGAAGGCCTTATGGTATAGATGGGCTACCAGAGTTGATGATTATAGAAGTAGCAATATCACCAGAGTTGGCGTTTGTGATAGTATGCATAGCTGAATTACTAAAGTTGGTGATTATTGTAATAGCAGGATCATAGAGTTAACAAGGTTACTAGAGTTGACGAATGTCGTAGTGACAGGTGTAGCAGATTTATAGAAACTTCACTTTCATTATCAATTCATTCATTTTTTTCAAAAGTTTTTAGGTCGGTCATTCCCATGTCTTTAAAGTATATCCTGAATATATTTTCTGATCTAAATGCGTAATAAAACCTATTTATTAACAGTTAAAAACTCTATGACCAAGATATCTTTTTTCTTACCGGAATCAGAAAGATAAATGAAGACATAGGTTATTTGAAATTTCGGGAAATCTTCTCTTAACAATGATAAGCTGATTATTTTTGATTTTGCAATTCAAATAATCTTTTGATTTAATTATTATTGTATTAATAACAATTAATATGGGGATTGATTTGTAACCGATACGGGAAATGGATTTGTAATTGATACAGGAGACAGATTTGTAGTCGATACGGGAGATGATGCAGTAAATAAATCCGCGGTAGATTTTTTCCTCCTAACGAAAAAAAAATCATAAGTTCAATAAACGATTTAAATATTATTATTTACCTGAGTAGTAATTGTTCATTATTTAAATTCTGAAAACTTGATTTGGCGCATTTTAAAGGATTTGAGCTTCTTATATTGTAAGAACCGTGTTAGCGCTATATTATTTAACACGAGACTCTAAAATTCGCAGATACACATCTCAGTATGCAATACCAACGCTTATTATAAAATGAATATCAATATTCAAAAAAATATTTAATTACTTGAAAAAATTAATAAATCACTATATAGTAAAGTTGGCAAATCTAAACAAATATATCTGTTATATATAAATATACCATATTTGTGGAGTAAAGTACCCCTTTATCATAATACCCTACTTCTTTTTTCAGTAAAAAATTGGGGAATTATAATCGGATGATTAAATACGAACTTACGCATCAATTCCTGTACTCCCAGTATAGTACCCGGGTATAGTTAAATATTTATAATACCCCCGGGCAGGGTTGGCAATGGAGTCAATGGAGCTCAAAAAACTAATATCCATTGGGCTCCATTCGCAGCTCTATTGCCAACCCTACCCCGGGTATTTTATTTCACAAAATACAGTATCATTTTATCATGCTTCTTTTTGATAATGCCCCAGAATTGATCTGCCATAGATACCTTAGAAGTGGGCGAAACAGTTCTTTGGTGGCGAATCACTCAACCATAAAATCATCATTACTTTAGAAGAGGGAGAAACTGTTGCTTAGTAGCAAAATTAAAGGATCAGTTGGAAAATTATCGTTACTTTAGAAGAGGCGAAGCTGTTCTTTAGTAATGAAATCTAAAATCGCCATTACTTAGAAGAAGGCAAAACTGTTCTTTAGTAATGAAATCACTCAGCTATAAAATCGTCATTAGTTTATAAAATAGAGTGAAATAATTCATTACTTTTAGAAAAGGGCAAAAAAATTAACGAAACCAACTTTAGAGGGGACAAAATCGTCTTTAGATGGAGTCGTTAGAGAGACGAGCCATCATTTATAATAAAATATCTATAAAACTGTCGCGTGCCTTTTTATTAAAAACTTTTCGAATACTCATTTTCAATAAATAACAACTTTTTTTTGGTGATCGTATGCGTTATCTTCAATAATTGAATTCAAGCGAGATACAAATCTTGCTCCAAATAACTTTTTCTTCATTTATTTTATTATCAAATAATTTCTAATTTGCAATCATTTATCCATTAGGTTTTGAAGAGAGAAGGAAGTGCAGAAAAAAATCATTTATACACCGTGTGTAATTTGGTTGAAGACTTTTTGATTGGCTACTTAATGATATATGATCTGTGAAAGTAGATCTGTCATGTATAAAGCGCTATGAGTAAGTCTACGGGTTTTCAGATTATACTAAATAAAAAGATTTGCCTTGAATATTATCAAAAATCTGATAGTAGTTTAATTTTAAACTTTAAGATATCACGATAATTGATAATCATCTAACTACTAGGTTAACAGGAACTGTGTAAGTCCAAAGCCTAACATATTATTACTATTATTAATATTAATTAATTTGGCCAATAAAAATAATATCACGTGGCGGGCAGACAGACATTTTCAACTTTTACATATATATATAAGTCCTCGCTACGCTTCGGACAATAATTTGATTTTTATTTTAATTTCAATAATATCGATATAAGAAATTATTACAGTAATAAGTTTTTCCCACAATTTCTAGTCACATCAATCAAAATAATTTTGATTCTAGCGAAGATTTTTTTAGTAATTACTTGATTAAACTCAGTAAAAAATTTCTTTAAAATTTAAATGATTTTCCAACAACCATCAATTCAAATTCGGTGAATTTTTTTATTTTAATTCTTTGTTTATAAATTAAAATAAAAGAAGATTTTATTAAAATTGAATAGTTGTTGTTGAAAAATTTTTACTAAAAAGTTTTAGAAAAATTGGTCAGTTTATTTTTTATAAATATCTAACTTTGAACAAAGTTTATCTGATAAAATTTAATTAAATTTTTTTATTTTGTTTTTTATAAACCTGTAAATTAAAATAAAAAAATTGATTGAATTTAATTAGATAAATGCTAAATAATTTTTGTTTAAAATTTAGATATCAATAAAAAAAAGCTGCAGCTAGTTTTTCATAAAGATTTTCAATAACTGTCTATCCAGTTTCAATAATTTTTTATTTTAATTCTATAAACTTACAAAGTTAAAATAAAAAATTTAAATCAATAGTTATTAATTTTTAGTAAAAATTTCTAAACAATTATCTATTCAAATTTAAAAAAGTATAAAATTAAGAAAAAATGTGTTTGTCACCGGCAGTGACAGTCCCGAATCGAGCTAGGGGGTCGGTTTATCTTCTTAATCCAATCTGGGTTAGATCTAGATCTAGATCTAACCTAGATCTTTTTTGCATTTAGTTTTGCTTCGCGTTTGTTTTTTTTATTTTTTATTTTCTTTCACTTTTTCGATCTATTTATTTTATTTTGTTTTATTTTCTTTCGCTCTTTCGATCTATTTTTTTTTTTTTTTTTTTATTTTCTTTTCGCTCTTTCGTTTACTTTTTTTTTTTTCTTTATTTATGTGTTAATGCCGGTAATGATTAGACTTGCTTGAAACCGGAATCATGCAAGATAAGTAGTTGATTGTATTTTTTTTTTTTCTCAAGCATTAAATAACACCAATCTTCTTTTTTTTTCCGTAGCTTAGCTTCACTAAGACGCCAAGAAGAGTGAAGATTGGGACTAGAATCTTGTAGTTTCGCTTTGCTTTTTTTTTTCTTATTTTTCTTGGCTTGTATTTCACTGAAATATTAGGTAATGGAATTTAGAATCAGAACTAGCTCTCGTAAGATAGTGCTTTTTTTTTTACTGTTTGCTTTTTTGATTTTTTTCAGCTTGAACTAATTTTTTTTTTCAGGCTTACTTCACTAGAACTATGAGTAGGTCGCTTCGGGTCATTGTTGTTGGAGCTTTCACTAGTATGAATTCATCGTCGTTTTTGGTGTGATTTCGTCGCTTTTGGAGCCTTCAGCTTTCACTAGTGTGTTTCGGTGTTGTCGTTTCTGGAAGCTTTCACCAGTGCGATTTCATTGTCGTCTTTGGAAGCTTTCACTGGTGTTATTTTTTTTATTTTTTTTTTTTACTGTTTGCTTTTTTTTGATTTTTTCAGCTTGAACTAATTTTTTCTTTTAGGCTTACTTCACTGAAACAATGGGTAGGTTGCTTCGAGTCATCGTTGTTGGAGCTTTCACAAGTATGAATTCATTGTCGTCTTTGAAAGCTTTTATTGGCGTCGTTTTTGGAGCTTTCAATGTTGTCGTTTTGGAAGCTTTTACTAGTGTACTTTGGTGTTGTCGTTTCTGGAAGCTTTCACTGGTGCGATTTCGTCATCGTCGTTTTTGGAAGCTTTCACTGGTGTGATTTCGTCACTTCGTCGTCGTCATCGTTTTTGGAGCCTTCAATATCGTTCTTTGAAGCTTTGTGTTGGTGTTAGTTTGTCGAGTGCGGTTGGTTTGTGCTTAGGGTAGTTGGTCATTAGTGGGTATTTGAGTTGGTTTGTAGTTCTGGTCATTAGTATATAGTTGGTTTGTGGTTCTGGCCATTAGTATATAGTTGTTTAGTGGCTGATATTAGTGATTAGATTTTTTTTTTTTCTTGATTAATAAAGAAATACTTGAACATACGAATTTATGAGGTTATTATGATATTATAATTTTGTGCTGTGTTATAAAAATGTTAACTATAGAGATGTGGCGACTTAGTGTAGTGGTCTAGTCGTCACCCTCTCCAAGTGGCAGGTCTAGAGTTCAAATCCCACGAACGACGAATTTTGGAAAATAGCCTGTATTACGGTTTATGGTTGTCGATTATCGGTTGGATCTAGAAATCTGTAATCTCAGTCATACCATCTAGTTATGGGAGCTTTGGCACAATAAATCTGAG